TCCTGCTGAGTGATACTTTATCAGATCTATCAACATTTAAATACTCTTGATGTGATTATGCCCCAATGGATTAAATCAGGCAGACAGAAAATAATTCATCTTTGCTTATTTATTGAATTAGTTTTGTAATAGGACAGAGCTGTAGAGTTGAAGTGACATTTCAAATCTTAAATCACTGTTTAAAAGGTTTGATTCCTTCACCCAAATATTTGGCGCTCTCCAATTTAAAAGAGATTGCAATTAAAGATTAGCATTCTTCATCATCATCTTCATCCCCATCAGCAGAATCCCGACCAACCTCTTCATAATCCTTCTCCAAAGCGGCCATGTCCTCCCTGGCTTCAGAGAACTCGCCCTCCTCCATCCCCTCCCCAACATACCAGTGCACAAAGGCCCGCTTTGCATACATCAGGTCAAACTTGTGATCTAGCCGGGCCCATGCCTCGGCAATGGCCGTGGTGTTGCTCAGCATGCAGACTGCCCGCTGCACTTTGGCCAGGTCTCCCCCAGGTACCATGGTGGGGGGCTGGTAGTTGATGCCCACTTTAAACCCAGTTGGGCACCAGTCCACAAACTGGATCGCCTTCCTGGTTTTGATGGCTGCAATAGTGGCATTCACATCCTTGGGCACCACGTCCCCCCGGTACAGCAGGCAGCAAGCCATGTACTTGCCTCGGCGAGGGTCGCATTTCACCATCTGGTTGGCAAACTCAAAGCAAGCGTTGGTGATCTCGGGCACCGACAGCTGCTCGTGGTAGGCCTTCTCCGCCGAGATGATGGGTGCATAGGTGGTGAGGGGGAAGTGTATCCTGGGGTAGGGCACCAAGTTAGTCTGGAATTCTGTAAGGTCAACATTCAAGGCCCCATCAAACCGCAGGGAAGCGGTGATGGACGACACAATCTGCCCTATCAGCCTGTTCAGGTTGGTGTAGGTGGGACGCTCGATATCCAGGTTCCGGTTGCAGATGTCGTAGATGGCTTCGTTGTCCACCATGAACGAGCAGTCCGAGTGCTCCAGCGTGGTGTGGGTGGTCAGGATGGAGTTGTAGGGCTCCACCACTGCCGTCGAAATCCGTGGGGCTGGGTACACCGAGAACTCCAGCTTGGACTTCTTCCCATAATCCAGCGAGAGGCGCTCCATCAAGAGGGAAGTGAATCCAGACCCCGTGCCTCCTCCAAAGCTGTGGAAGACCAGGAACCCTTGCAGGCCACTGCACTGGTCAGCCTCAGGAAGGGGTGGGGGGGAAAAAGAAGATAGAAAAAAATTAGGAGCGCCCATGTTAACTCAATATTGAAGACACATTTGCAACTGTTATGAGTAAAAGATGCACTTTTATAATACAGGTTCATTTGATTATAGACCCTCCCCCACCACGAGAATTTTCATATGAAAGCACTCAAGTAGTGCAATTAAGAACCATGACTTTAGGTGAACAAGGTAGTGATGGATATGGAAGGATAGCCATTCAAACGTTTACCTGAAGGCTCCATCCACTGGTAAAGTTACAGCTTCAGTCAACTTCTCATCATTCTGCTTGTCCATTCAAAAGCATCATCTAAATTTTGATCTCTTCCTCCCGCCATCCTGTACTTAAAGTCTTACCATTTATTTTTCAGCGCATGATTAAATCACTATGTGCCAATTCTTTTGTTTTACTGTGCACTGAATGTTCTCTCTTTAGAGCTTCTTCCTTCTTGCCATCTCCCTAGTTATCTGCAGCCATTTCCCAGAGATCCACTAGTTCCTACTTCCCTCTTCACAGTTAGATCCTTATCTCGTGGCATTAAATACCCTCACCCATGATACAGCTTTGAATTGGAGACCATGCATCTATGATTCCTCCTTGTCCAGAAGTGCACAATCTACCTGCGGGACTTGGGAATGGGTAGAAATAAGTCTGTCGTACCTTGCTCCCCACTTGTTTTGGGAGGGGCAGTAGGAAGAGACTTGTTAAGAAAAAAGATCCCTTCACCCCTAGTGCATCATCTTTCAATCTAGCCCCATCCATTATTTTATGGTTTTAACCTTCTCCTCCCTAATTTAGTCTAAACATTAGGAATTAGAAAGATATCAGTATTTTTTTTTTTTTTTTTTTAAATAAAAAGTGCAGGGAGAAGAACACAGATATCATTGTTCAACATGTTTGTTTGGTTTATTGCATTAAAAGGATTATTCCTGAAAGAAATAAAAGCAACTTCAGCAGTTTCTGCACCACCATGCATATATACCACTTTCAAACATCTACGCTGCAATCCAGCAGTTGGTCATCACATCAAGACCGAAACAAGCCCTTAGGATGAATACTGGTTGAATTGCAGGCTCAGGAGTTTCCTCCTGGCCATACCACAAAACCAGAACATGAATTCAGCATACACAGGATCAGATCTATTACTGCAAGTCTACATAACTCATTTCTAAAGGTGGGTTGGGAACTCAAGACACTGGGAAGTTATGATTGGGGGGGGGCCGGGGGGGCGCAGCAGCAGCTCAACTTATGGAAGGGCAGCAAGCCAAGAATATAGACCCAAGTTGGATATACTTATACTACATCCCTTCCCCCCCCTTTTCCCATTCTCCCCCAGTCCCTTCCAACTGTTGCATTTCAAGTTTCATACTCTTAAAAAGACTAGAAAGTTTCCATCTATCTTTAGATACGATTCATAGATGTTGAGGTCCCTTCTGACCTTAATAGATCGAGTCCGACCCCCTGCATAGGCAGGAAAGTGTTCTGGGTTTAGATGACCCCAGCCAGATGCCTATCTAACCTCCTCTTGAAGACCCCCAGGGTAGGGGAGAGCATCTCTTCCCTTGGGAGCCCATTCCAGATTTTGGCCACTCTAACGGTGACGAAGTTCCTCCTAATGTCCAGGCTAAATCTGTTCTCTGCTAGCTTACGGCCATTATTTCTTGTAACCCCCAGGGATGCCTTAGCGAGTAGAGCCTCACCAATTCCCTTCTGCACCCCCATGATGAATTTATAGGCAGTCACAAGGTCGCCTCTCAGCCTTCTCTTGCGGAGGCTGAAGAGGTCCAGGTGCAAGGTGATGTACAAAGGGTTCCATCACGGCAATACTATTACTTAGTCTGGTGCCCCTCTCCCACACATCCTGCTTTACTTACCATTTTACGAGTCCTGTCAACAACAGAATCTATTATCTCCTTCCCAATGGTGTAATGGCCCCGGGCATAGTTATTGGCAGCATCCTCCTTGCCACTGATGAGCTGCTCAGGATGGAAAAGTGAGCGGTACTTCCCAGTTCTGATCTCATCTGCAAAGAGCAGTTGAGAGAAAAATCTCTAAACAAGAGCTTCTGAGATATGACCCAAGGATCATTGGGTAGTCACAGCACAGGTCTCTACAACTGGATGCATCAAGGCTTTGAATTGATGCCAATAGCTTGAAGACACGTGAAAAGCAGCTACAATGCTAAGAATGCATAATAAAATGGCAACCACAGTTGGAAGAGACCTGAAGGATCATTCAGTCCAACCCATTGCACAAATACTGGACTGCTACTCAAAAAAAAAAAAAAAAGTCACTCATCCAATGTATTCCAGTTACTACAAGATTAAAGACAAGGTGGGAGTCCCTGATAAAAAGTTTAGCAGAAGAGAGACAAGGCAGTGAAGCAGAACTTGGTTAAGACAGTATAAGAGAGTTGTTAAAAGCCTTCTGGGGGGGAGGAAAGAGGAGGGGGGTGGAGAGAACAACCCCCACCCCCACACAACTTCCAGTGAAAGGGATTTTGCAGCTTTCTTGCACAGTCTACTCTATTGCCTCACTGTTCTAACATCAATTAGGACTTTCTTACCATCTAAAGTCTACTTTGCTAGTACTTTAAGCCATTGCTTTATATCTTGCCCATCCCACCCCTCCCCCTCCAGAAAGGGGAGGGGGGGTGGGAAAGGAAAAAGAGTTATTCCCCCTCTCCTGTACAGCTATTACATCCCTCCTTACATCAGCTTTTCTGCAAGATAAATATGCTTAGGTCCATCAGCCTAGACTCATATGGCTTTCCTTCCAATTTGTTTGTCACCCACCTCTGGACCCTCTCCAATTTCTCTACATACTTCTTAAAAAGATGCTGAGCCTAGAACTGCATGCAGTACTCCAGACAAGCCCTAACCAGTACCAAATAGAATGACACTATTACCTCCCATCTCTTATACCTAGTACTAGTGTGCAGTTTTTTTTTTTTTGTGTTTGTTTTTTTGTGTTTTGTTTTTTTATATAAAAAGTGCATCACATTTATGCACCACAGATTCAACAGGAGTCGGCGACACCTTTTCCATAATGCTGCCCCCCTGGTCAATCATCTCCCATTCCAAATTTGGGCTTTTGATTGTTCCTCCCTAGGTGCAGTATCTTTCGTTTGTCTGCACCAACCTCCAGCCTACTGTCTCGAGCGCATCTTCCCAATCCATTAAGGCCCTCTGAACTCAGCCCAGACACCATACGAGGAGAACAAGAAAGCATATAGTAGGAAAACAAGTTCAGAGGAAGAATAGACGCAGGAGACAGCAGAACAGTGACATTATTAGTTTGCCAAGAGTGCTAGTTGTTAATATTAGTTGGATTGAGACACACTCCCAAGACTTCTCCATGAAGCCAAGTGTTGCAGGGCTCATAAGGAACATGCTCAACAGGAAGGAGAGGAAGATATCAGAGCGTGGTCCATTTTTGAGACAGGCTGGAAACCCCTGGTCCGAGTTACATGACAGTCACATAGCCATAACACAAACTTTTTGGAAGTGAGGCAGGGTTGAGAAGCGAGTTTTCTGCACATGTACCACAATGGAGGTGGTGTCTGTTATTCTCCCAGCCTGCCATTGAAGGGCTGAAGCTATGCTGACAGCATCGATAGGTTTCATTATCTTACCTATGACAGTAGGTTCCAGGTCTATGAACACAGCTCTGGGCACA